AGGTTCAACAGGGGTCCGGAGAAGGTTGCAGGAAGTGTTGGTGCAAAGTCAAGTCAGGCTCAACTGCGTGCCGGAGAAGGTTCCGGAGAAGGTTCCGGAGTAGGTTGGGGAGGCTTTGGTGCAGAGCCAGGTCAGGTTCAACAGGGTTCCGGAGAAGGTTCCGGAGCAAGTTCCGGAGAAGGTTCCGAAAAAAGTTCAGGAGAAGGTCTGGGAGGCTTCGATGCAGAGCCATGTCGACCAGGTTCAACAGGGTTCTGGAGAAGGTTCCGGTGAAGGTCTGGGAGGCTCTGGAGAAGGTTCCGGTGAAGGTCTGGGAGGCTTTGGTGCAGAGCCAGGTCATGTTCAACAGGGTTCCGGAGAAGGTTCCGGAGAAGGTGTGCAATCTTCCGGTAAAAGAAAAATCCCTGCTACGGCAAGGTGTGTGTGTGGGGAACATCTGAACAGATGTAAAACTTCTTTTGGTATGTTTATTTATTCAAGCAGGCGGCGACAGGGTCGCAGCATGGCTGTCGCCAACGAAGCTCCATGCAGTTGACTAGAATATGGAGTCTGATCAACTCCACGTACGTGCAAATAATTTTGTTTTGACCGTTATTGCATGGGGCCAAGCCGATGATTTTGCTTCTCGTCATGGCAGAGGGCTAAGCCGAGAACCCTTACTTCAACTTTTTCGAAATGCTCAAGACTTTTAATTTGCTCCAGTTTTCCGAGATTGTCTTGTTTCTGCACGGTTTCCTCAATCTGTTCAATAGGATATTTCATCAAGATTCTGGTCGTGATCTTCTTTATCAATGTTTATTCAATTTTGGGGTCTGTTTGAACGAGTTTTTCTTCGTGGGCATGTTTGTCGGAATTCCTTCGTATTAATTGCATACACCTTCGAGGAGAGGTACCTTGTATCACTTATCTTGTTTAATTGCACGTTATGGAAGTCAGTTCCCGACGGATCACTACAATGATCCAGTTCTTGTCTAGTGTGTATGTATGTATGTATGTATGTATGTATTTATTATTTTTTTAATTTATCTATTTATTTATTTGTGTGCGAATGAATGCAACGGATGTAATGTATGTATGCCTGTTTGTCGGTCGGTCGGTCGGTCGGTCCGTATGTATGTATGTATGTATGTATGTATGTACGTATGTACGTACGTACGTACGTACGTACGTACGTACGTACATATGTCTGTATGTTTGTATGTCTGTATGTCTGTATGTCTGTATGCCTGTATGCCTGTATGCCTGTATGTTTGTATGCCTGTATGTCTGTATGTCTGTATGTCTGTCTGCCTGTCTGTCTGTATGTATGTATGTATGTATGTATTAATGTAATGTAATGTAATGTAATGCAATGCAATGCAATGTAATGTAATGTATGTAGTGTATGTAATGTATGTAATGTATGTAGTGTATGTAATGTATGTAATGTATGTAGGTAGGTATGCAGGTATGTATTTATGTATGTAATGTAATGTAATGAAATGAAATGTAATGTAATGTAACGTAATGTAATGTAATTAATGTATGTAATGTAATTAATGTATGTAATGTATGTAATGTATGTATGTATGTAATGTAATGTAGTGTAATGTAATGTATTGTAATGTAATGTAATGTAGTGTAGTGGAATGTAATGTATGTATGTATGTATTTATGTAGGTATGTATGTAGGTAATTTAAGTATGTATGTAGACATGTAATGTAATGTATGTAATGTATGTAATGTATGTAATGTATGTAATGTATGTATGTATGTATGTATGCATTAATTAATGTAATTTAATGTGATTTAAATTCAATGTATTGTATTGTAACGTAACGTAAGGTAATGTAGTGTAATGTAATGTATATATGTAATGTATGTAATGTATGTAATGTATGTAATGTATGTAATGTATGTAATGTATGTAATGTATGTAATGTATGTAATGTATGTAATGTATGTAATGTATGTAATGTATGTAATGTATGTAATGTATGTGTATGGAATGTATGTAATGTATGTAATGTATGTAATGTATGTAATGTATGTAATGTATGTAATGTATGTAATGTATGTAATGTATGTAATGTATGTAATGTATACAATGTATGTATGTATGTAATGTAATCTAATGTAATGTAATGTCATGTAATGTAATGTAATGTAAGTAAGTAAGTAAGTATGTATGTATCTATGTATCTATGTATCTATGTATCAATGTATCTATGTATGCATGCATGCATGCATGCATGTATGTATGTATGTACATATGTATGTACGTACGTAATGTGTGTATGTATATATGTATGTATGTATGTACGTATGTATGTAGGTAATGTAAGTATGTATGTATGTAATGTTATGTACTGTAATGTCATGTAATGTATTGTAATGTATTTATGTATGTATGTAGGTAATGCATGTAATGTATGTAATGTATGTAATGCATGCAATGTATGTAATGTATGTAATGTATGTAATGTATGTAATGCATGCAATGTATGTAATGTATGTAATGTATGTAATGTATGTATGTATGTAAGTAAGGAAGTAAATAAGTATGTATGTATGTATGTATGTAATTCATGTATGTATGTAGGTAATGTAAGTATGTTTGTAGAAATTTAATGTAATGTGATGTAATGTAGTTTACTGTACTGCAAAGTGATGTAATGTAATGTAATGTAATGTATGGGTGTTATGTTATGTTTTTGTTTGTTTTGTTAAATAGTGTAAGTATGTAATGTATGTAATGTATGTCATGTATGTCATGTATGTCATGTATGTAATGTATGTAATGTATGTAATGTATGTAATTTATGTAATGTATGTAATGTATGTGCTGTATGTACTGTATGTAATGAATGTAATGTATGTAATGTATGTAATGTATGTAATGTATGAAATGTATGTAATGTATGTAAAGTATGTAATGTATGTAATGTATGTAATGTATGTAAGGTATGTAGTGTATGTAATGTATGTAATGAATGTAATGATGTATGTATGTATGTAAGTAAGCAAGCAAGCAAGCAAGTAAGTAAGTAAGTAAGGTAATGTAATGTAATGTAATGTAATGAAATGTAAGTATGTATGTATGTAATTTCATGTAACTAAATGAAATGTAATGTATGTAATGTATATAGTGTATGTATTGTATGTATTTATGTTTGTAATGCATGTAATGCATGTAATGCATGTAATGTATGTAATGTATGTAATGTATGTAATGTATGTAATGTATGTAATGTATGTAATGTATGTAATGTATGTAATGTATGTAATGTATGTATGTTATGTTAAGTTATGTAATGTAATGTAATGCAATGTAATGTAATGAAGTAAGTAAGTATGTATGTATGTATGTATGCATGAATGTAATGCAATGTATGTAATGTATGTATTGTATATAATGTATGTAATGCATGTAATGCATGTAATTTATGTAATGTATGCAATGTATGTAATGTATGTAATGTATGCAATGTATGTAATGTATGTAATGTATGTAATGTATGTAATGTATGTAATGTATGTAATGTATGTATGTAATGTAATCTAATCTAATGTAAGTAATGTAATGTAATGTAGTGTAGTGTAATGTAATGTAATGTAATGTATGTAATGTATGTAATGTATGTAATGTATGCAATGTATGCAATGTATGTAATGTATGTAATGTATGTAATGTATGTAATGTATGTAATGTATGAATGTATGTAATGTATGTAATGTATGTTACGTAATGTAATGTAATGTAAGTAATGTATGTAATGTATGTACGCATGTACTGTATGTAATGTATATAATGTATGTAATGTATGTAATGCATGCAATGTATGTAATGTATGTAATGTATGTAATGTATGTAATGTTTGTAATGCATGTAATGCATGTAATGTATGTATTGCATGTAATGTATGTAATGTATGTAATGTATGTAATGGGTGTAATGGGTGTAATGTATGTAATGTAAGTAATGTATGTAATGTATGTACGCATGTACTGTATGTAATGTATATAATGTATGTAATGTATGTAATGTATGTAATGTATGTAATGTATGAAATGTATGTAATGTTTGTAATGCATGTAATGCATGTAATGCATGTAATGTATGTATTGCATGCAATGTATGTAATGTATGTAATGTATGTAATGGGTGTAATGGGTGTAATGTATGTAAGGTATGTAATGTATGTAATGTATGCAATGTATGCAATGTATGGAATGTATGGAATGTATGTAATGTATGTAATGTATGTATGTTATGTTAAGTTAGGTAATGTAATGTAATGCAATGTAATGTAATGAAGTAAGTAAGTATGTATGTATGTATGTATGCATGAATGTAATGTAATGTATGTAATGTATGTAATGTATATAATGTATGTAATGCATGTAATGCATGTAATTTATGTAATGTATGCAATGTATGTAATGTATGTAATGTATGCAATGTATGTAATGTATGTAATGTATGTAATGTATGTAATGTATGTATGTATGTAATGTAATGTAATCTAATCTAATGTAAGTAATGTAATGTAATGTAGTGTAGTGTAATGTAATGTAATGTAATGTAATGTATGTATGTAATGTACGTAATGTATGTAATGTATGTAATGTATGTAATGTATGTAATGTATGTAATGTATGTAATGTATGTAATGTATGTATGGTATGTATGGTATGCATGTTATGTATGGTATGTATGGTATGTATGTATGTACGTATGTGCGTATGTACGTATGTACGTATGTACGTATGTACGTATGTACGTATGTACGTATGTACGTATGTACGTATGTGCGTATGTACGTATGTATGTATGTATGTATCTATGTATCTATGTATCTATGTATCTATGTGTGTATGTACGAATGTACGAATGTATGTATGTATGTACGTACGTACGTATGTATGCATGCCCTACCATGCAACGTTAGTGACTGGAACCCTACAGGCTTGGTTGCATGATTTTTTTTTGGCCTGTCACCGTTACATCTAATTCGAGGGGAAGACGGTCTTCGAGCGAAGGCCCTGGGCCCAAACTGTGACCAATTGGTTCTTGCGATGTGGTCTCATTGCATTTCCTGCGAATCGGAACATGTTTGGAGGAACTCGAGCTGGAAAAGAAAGCTGCAGCATGCTTAGTCTTGTCAAAATTTGTTCCTACTTGGGAAACTTGTTCTTCAATCAACTCTGTGGAAGATTTCGTCTGAACGCAAAGGTGGAGTGGCAAGAAACTGCCCAAAGAATGATTGACGAAGAACGACAGCACTGAACTCAGTGAAACAAAAATGAAGAAACACATCAAAATATCCTTGGCAGGAATCAAACATGTTGAAACATGACTGGTTCACAAAAAGGAAAAACACATGGATACTAAAAATAAAGGGAGCACAAATTCAGATTTTGTTATTTTTTTTGCTATCACACTCACCTGTGCATATGCGTGTAGATCAGTTGTGTAGTATCTGTTCTTATCAGTTGCGCTCGAACCTGTCAGGCATGGACCACAGCGCAGGGATGACACGCCACAACACGTGGCTCAAGCAACAAGGAAAACAGACAGTGGAGCGGGCTGCCAGATTTTCAGATGGTAGTGGAGCCTAATGATCCACACTTTGTGGTGAGGGCCCTGCTACTGAAATTCGCAGATCCATGCAGGCTGCTGTGGTGATAGCGCTGCTAATGGTTGCAGCTGGTGGCAGGATGGTGGAACCTGGGGCAATGGGCTGGAACCTGGGCTGAGAAGTGCTGCAGAAAAATCGATGCCTGGCTCTCAGACACTTGTGGTGAAGACAGCGGCTTTGATGAAGAAGATGCTCGAAGTACTTGGAGCAGAAGTATGCGCGCAGGCAGATGGTTTGGTTGATACCCATGGCAGTTTCAATGTTGATGCTTTGAACGAAGGGCATGTGAGAAGAGATGGTTTGGCTGGCAGTTTGAACAGTGCAGACCTTGGATGGAGTAGCAGCAGAGACTTTGATGAGCCCAATGAGTTCATGCCGGCAGAGTTTCACATGGCAGACTTTCAAAGAGCAAAGCTTCGAAGCAATCACCGGGCCACTCCTTTGGGAACAAGTGTGGCTATGAACCCCTCTGGAGGTGCGATGGTGAACTATGTGGAGAACGTTGACTTCAAGGTCTTGGATGGTTGGCAGTTCTAGGTGAACATTGTCTTCAGGCGCAATCCTTTGCAGTGCTTGGAGTTTTACGTCCTCAAGGTCCTTGAAATGGCATTGAGCTTGGTGAAGTATGTCCTCGAGATCTTGGTTTTCTCTCTACGTTCTCTCCCCTATCTCATGGACAAGGGCATGGATGTTTGTCATTCTGGCTTGATGCAATTTGCTGGTTGGATGATGATATTCTATGGATGTAGCATGTCATGGACGGTGTCTACAAGCAGATGTTTGGCAGGCATTGCTAGGAGCTGGATGGCATCTATGCCAAAGGTGCTAGTGCAGGAACTACGAGGCAAGGAGTTGCAGTTCGGTTTGATGGCAGTCATTCTGGTTTGCATCACATGGTTTCTGGCATTGATGAACAGAAACTGGATGAGCAGCCAATGGGTGAAAACATGTCAAACTTTACAGATGACACGGTTGAAAAAGAGATGTGCCAGCAGAATGTAGCATGAAACGCAAGTTGGTAGCTGTAGTTTTTCTTTGCAGTATTGGAAATGCTCATGCAATGGAGCAACAACAAGCAATGCTGGAGAGAGTCATGGTTCTAGCTGAAGCTGCAACAAGAGCAGCTATAGCAGCAGAGAAGGCAACAACTCAAACAGTGCATACAGCAGCAAACCTAGCAAGTTCAAGTTCGAGCTCAGTGTCAGATGGTTTGCAAGCAGCATCAAGGATACTCAAGAATCTTGAAGATGCTATGACTTTTGCTTCCTGGAGGTTTCAGTTTATGTCATGGTTGACATATGGTGATTCAAGGTGTATTCAGGTGCTTCAGGCTAAAGAGGCCACAGAGGCAACGCCAACAATGGCTGACTACAACGAAGCCCAGAAAGAAATGTCTCATAAACTATATGCTGTTTTGACAAGCTATCTACGTGGTCGTTGTGCACATTTAGCAGAGGCTCATGCAAAAGCTCGCGATGGTTTCGCAGTTTGGTACAGTTTGATGAGAGAGTTTGAACAAAGCTCTCGTCAACGCAGTCTTGCGTTGGCACAAGCCCTTGCTTCCTATCCCACATTCTCCAAAGACCGCAGTTGCATGGACTCCAGTCTGATCTTCGAAGAGACCATCCAACGGTTTGAGGAGTCCAGCAATACCAAGTACCCCGATAACTCAAAATTGCTATTCTTCTCAGGTGCTCCCCTGCAAAGCTCGGAGAACACCTTCAGCTTACCTTGGATGAGAAAGCAACCTACATTCAGGTCAAAGAGCAGATCATCAGCTTCGAGCGTGTGTCAAAGAGCTGGAGTCATGAAACAGTTAAGAAATCTATCCATGATGCCAACAAGGGCACTGCCGATGGGCCAACTCCTACGGAAGCGTCAAGGGCAAGGGGAAGAAAGGTAAAGGAAAAGGCAGTTGGAACATACCATGGGGTGCTGGCCGTGGTTTTGGTGGAAGAGGTGGAGGAAAGTCGAAAGGTAAAGGCCAGAAAGGACGTGGCAGAGGCAACAGCAAAGGAGTTAAGTCGAAGGGCAAGGAAGGAAAGGGCAAAGATGGACAGAAGGGCAAAACAGCAGGAGTGGAGAGTGCCCACAACGTATGGATGTGAACAATGCGCAGAATCAGCAAGACACCAGTTACACTGTCTCTCCCACCAAAACAACAGTGGAGCTTCTTCGTCCTCAGTGTATCGTCAAGCTCATGGTGAACAGTCTCCAGTACAGCCAAAGGCAGCAACAGTGCGCAGGATTTTCCACATCACTCCTCCCTCATCATATCCCTCTTCTCCTGCATCACCGGCTTCAAGTAGACATGTGAGAATGGTTGAATTTTTGGACAGTTCAGATGAAGATATGCATGTGAGAAATGTGTTTGGTGAGGAATGGATTATCTTGGATAGCGGCTCAGATGCGAGTTTACTTCCTGCACGATTTTCAGTTGACAGCGGCCACAGCAGCAAGTCATAGCTTGCAAAGCTGTCAAGGTGGCAAGCTCAGAACACGTGGCACAAGGTACACACCTTCAGGTGCGTGATGTTGAAGGTGAAGAAGTTCTTTTGCGTCATGAGTTCATTGTTGGTGATGTGACTACAAGTTTGGTTCCTCTGGGGCAGTTGTACCAAGCAGGTCGGAAAATTACTGGTGAAGGCGGTGATGAACTTTTCCTGGTAGATCCTCAAGACCAAGTCAAAATGCCTGTGTACAACAACAAGAACAAGTCATTTGCAATCAGGGCATGTGTTCGACAAGTTGAAGAAGGAGAAGACGATGATACAAGCGTTTCTTCTTTTCATGCTCGTGCTATTGTTCAAGTGTTTGCAGAAATAGAACTTTGTGATTTCAACGTCTGGGAAATGACCGAGTCTGGAACACCCTGCATCAAGCATGTGGGGAACAGCTATGCAGATCTCCGTCCAACATGGAGAAACAATTGGCCTTTCAGAACGACTTTGATCTCAAAGACCAATTCCACCGACAGTTGCGCATTGGTGGAGATGACTCAGCATTTCATGGACAAAGATGAACCTTTTGGGTTTATTGATGAGTGATTGTTCAACATGGATGGAGCGCGCGAGATGCTCACAATTCTTGGCGTTGAAGAACATGGGTTTGAAGAATTTGGAGATTAGCTTGAAGATGAAGAGGAAGCTGATGGTCATGTTCATCATGTTCAACTTCCCGGTGCTCAACGTCAGGAACAACGACCACAACCAGAAGCAATGGTAGCACAAGATGTTTCTCAAAAAGCTCAGCATGAGGTTGCAGAAATGCGTGAACCTCCAGGTCTTTCTCAACCAGATCCTCTTGGTGGAGTAGAACCTGCAGCATTGAAATTTGAGAGCTGGGTCAAGGCGGCAAAGATGAATGTCAGGCGCATTGGTGAGGTTGAGATCACGCACAATGACGTGATTGGTGTGGAAGAAGACTTGGGATTTCTTCCTTACGAGGATGCAGACCCAGAGGATGAAGACATAAACAAACGTCTTGAAAGAAGACGGCCCACCCATAGTTTCTCCGGAAAAGTGAGCAGAGTTGGATGCACAAGCAGCTTGAGATGAGGTTGTACGAGATGCAGGTGATTTCGCCAGAGGAGGTTGATGTGAGAACAATTCCGAGTCACAAGCTCGTGGATACTACAATCGCAAGTGATTGGCGCCACAGGGAGAACAAATGGCGCAGACGTTGCAGAATAGTAGCAAGAGAGTTCAAGTCTGACAACACACATGAAAACAGCTTCGCACCAACCACCAGTTTTGGTGCAGTGAGACTCCTCTTGGTCATCTGCATGGTCTTCAGCCTTTTGATCACGGGAATAGGTGTGAAAGATGCTTTTCTCTGCGTAGAACAGCAAGAGGAAATGTTCGTGGTCATTCCACAGTGGAGTCGAGACCTATCACCAGAAGATCGGTCAACAGCTTGGAGATTAAAACGATGCCTCCCAGGACAGCGCAATGCAGCTTTGAGATGGTTTGAACACTTCTCTAACCTGTGTTACACTGCTGGTATGGAATCATACAAGGTATGTCCTACGATCATGAAGTTGGTGAATGATGAGAGGCGAGTGTAGCTCTCAGTGCATGTGGATGATGTGCTTTTGGTTGGAAGTGAAGGTGATCTGCACTGGTTCAAAGAAAGATTGCGTCAGATCTTACGATCAAGGTTGATAGTCCTCACGCTCAAGGTTCAGGTGATGTCATGTTCTACCTCAAGAAGGCCATGACTTTTGCCTGAAGGAATTTTGGTGCAGCCCAGTGGCACCTATATTCCCAAGCTCATCAACATGTTGAAGATTTCTGGCAGAAGAAAGAAAGATCTTGAACATCATGCAGTTTTGGAAACCTACAGCTCAGAATTTCCAGAGCAAGATGTTCTTACAGGTGAAGAAGCATCGCTGTTTCGTTCAGCATTGGGTTTGATCCTCTACATCTCCCATGACAGGCCAGATATCTTGTTTGCAACAAAGGCTCTGGCAACATGGATGTCTTACCCATGCGTGAAAGCGAAGGCAGCTCTCAAACACCTAGCGCTGTATCTTGCTGGAACAGTATGCTGGTGTATTGTTGAGAAGGTGTGAAGCATATGAAGATGTGTTCGATCGATGGATTGAAGCAGGTGAGTGGACCGATGTGACAAGAGAACAGCGAAAAGATCGGTCAGTGTTCAATGTGGATATTTCTCAGATTCGTCACCCGGTGATGATGGTTCTACCAGAAAGTCAACAAGCTCATGTGTCATGTTTGTGAATGGTGCGTAAATTTCAGGTTTCAGTAGAACACAAGCAACAGTGGGCTATGGGAACAACCCAGAGAGCAGGATTTGGTCGGAGGAAACACATCCAGATCCGACACCTATTTCTTCAAGATTTACGGCGGATGAAAAAAATCAGTTTGCACAAAGTCAGTACAAAGATGAATCCAGCGGATTTGGGAACAAAGAAGTTAGGAGTAGAGAGACGCAAAGATTTGGGCAGACTCATTGGCATTTTCACTGGTGAGGATGAAACATCGAAACGTGCTGAAGTTATGCAGGCTAGAAGAGTTCAGATGATTTTGATGACAGCCTTTCAAGCAGCAGCAGCGTCCCTTTTGCAGGGATTTCTCTTCCTCATCTTCATTCTTGTGAGGCAGTCCTACAACCTCTACTACCACAGATCTCAAGTTTCTCCTGGCATTTGGTGGCGTCGTGGTGATGGTGCTTTTTGTGCTGATAGCAATGGTGCCTGGAGGAGAATCGTCATCGTCTTCAGGTCAGAGACTTTTGGGTTGAGCAAGCCGAAGTTTCGCTGATGAAGCCCAGTGGGTTCGTGAGATGGAGCAGTACCTCGCTATTACCTTCATCATAGCGGTCAAGGCTTATATATTGGATCGATGGTGAACACGATCAGGCCTCCATCGAGAACATGTTCAACCACTTGAGGTTGGCCTGGCTCTTGCTCAAGACCGGTGAGACAGATATGGTAGATGTGTTCCTGAACTTCATCAAGGTCAAGGACGATGTTGGAAGCATGGAACAAGTTGGAGAGATGAAATGGAGGATGCCTCTTCCGCATGTGAACTTGTTGCACGCGGAGGCATGGCTGTGGGAAGAGTCAAAAGTCCACATCAAGAAGAAGGTAGATGAGCTTGAGCACACAGATTTCTTTACTCCAATATACAGATGCTTGGAACACAGGGGACACATCTCCAGGAGATTCAGACCAAGGTGAAATGTCTTTAAGGAGCGTACCTCGAGAAGAAGCAGTTCGCTTGGCGCAGGAAATCGCAGATCAACATGGACGAGATTTGGTGGTCGAACTACCAGAAGAAGTTGAACCAGAAGCAGAAAGAGATGTACCAGAAGGAAATGGAGAAGGTAGCCGGGAAAACACACTTGGAAGAAGCAGCAATGAAGCAGCTACCTTGGAAACGCGACAGTCAAGGAGCACAAGGAATACAACGAGCGAGGAGTCAGACCAGATTGAGCAATCTATGGCTGAGGCGCGGGCGGCACTTCGACGCGGGATTCGCCTACTCCAACCCAGAGCCACCCGATATGAGGAATTGGGTGATTGTGAAGCAGCTGAAGCAGTTCAGAGGCAGATTGATGACATGGAAGCTATGGAGAGCTCAATTTGAGCAACGCAGCGGCCGTAGCAATCAGTGCATGTGGCAGCTGTGGTGAACGCAAAGTGGTGAAAGCAAAGGCAAAGTGGTGAGCGCAATCAGCGCATGTGACAGTGAGCGTAGATGCATGTTTAGTTTTTTCAACTAACAACAACCTGTGGAAACTAGGAATTAGGAAATGTAGCTTGAGCACTTAATTGGAAAAGCACCATTCACCAACACTCATGACTTATGTTTTCAAGGTACCTGCAGATTACATGCCAACCAGCACTCATGGCATGTATGGTTTTTCAGACACCTGCAAATTCAATTAGATTTTCAATTCAAACATCAATTAGATTTTCATAGAATTTACATTTTTTTACAACTACCAAAAATCAATTGGAAAACTCATATGTTAGTTCAATGAGGTATGCTGCAGTCGAAACTCACCAATAAGCAAGACAAGAAGGCTAACAAAGTAGCCCGCGGTGAGTGTAGCAAAGATGTGGCAAATCCTGTGAAACAGGAATTTTGCCAAGGTGAGGTGTGAATATTTAGTTATCACCTTCACCTGTGCATATATGTATAGATCAGTTGTGTAGTATCAGTTCTTTTCAGTTGCACTTGAACCTGCCAGGCATGGACCACTGCGCAAGGATGAAACGCCACAACACGTGGTTCAACCAACAAGGAAAACAGATAGTAGAGCGGGCTGCCAGATTTTCAGAAATTGCTACTTTTTGCCCCATCTGTTTTGCTTAGTGAGAAAACACGAAACAAACGCGAAAACAAAACGGAAAAAAACAAAAAGGAACAATGTGATTTTGTTATTTTTATTTTTTGGTTGGTTGGTTGGTTGGTGTGTGTGTGTGTTTGTTTGTGTGGTTGTTTTTGTTTTGCAATTTTATTAGTTTCGCATTTTCCAGTCAAAACTTGGTACTGCAACATATAGTTTTGTCAAAGCAATCCCTATGTTTTTGTTCATTTGGATGCCTGTGCATGTTTGTGACTCTAGCTACTGCAGGCTTGAGACTGCCGCGAACTCAGTTGAATTTCAGGGCCCCCAAAAGTGAAACATTGTCAAACACTGTCAAACACGGACTGATCAAGATGACTTTTAGCGATCCACTCCGTGAGGAAAAACTGCGAAACCCACTGCAGACCAGTGGAGCAACTCGTCTCTGTCATGTGCAAGTCTGTTCATTAGTGCGTAAGCAACTGGTTCATATTGAATTGACGCATTGGAATTAGTTGATGCCGTTATGTGATTTGGTTTGCCCCCTTTTTTGGAAAACCACGTCTTTCCCCGCCCTTTTTGTTCACCCATCTCATCCATCCATAAGATTTGCCTAGCCCCATTACAGTAAGATGGCAGTCATGAATCCCTATGGACAGGTTGCACCTTTGCTCAGGTATTGTGGATGCATTTATGCACATTTTTTTCAGTTATAAACATTTAATCTAAGGCATTTCTTTGTGATGGTTGCTACACTTGAAGAATGGTGAATACTTTTAGATATTAAATTTGCAAAAATCAGAACAGAAGTAACAACAACATGTTTTGGCAGGTGTTTTTGTCCCTCGTGAAGTTGAAACATAAACAAAAGGTATGGATGAACAGGTATGATTGTTGTGTTTCCATCTTCGTTTGAGCTGAGGGTGAAAGGCCAGCCTTTCCAGATGATGGTTTGAGAAGAGATTTGTGGTTTTGCCCCCAGCAATGTACCTTGAGCAGAGGAGTCCATGCCAGTCCAAGCATGGATGAAATTGCGCAGAGTTGCTGAGGATAAACGCAGTCCAAAGATTGCAGGATGAGTGCAGACCTTGGCTTGCCCCCGTCCAATCAAACCTTCGCTTGTATCTGTAGCGTTTTCTGAGCCATGGTAGCATCATGTAGCATCAGCTTTACATGGTCTTCACGATTCTTCACGACATCCCATGATGAGGACAGTGCATGTCATGATTTCGTTGCAGTTACAGTATCCTCAGCTTCATAGACCACTGTCGTGCTCAGTCCTTGCTGGTTTCCACCCAGGATCTTGTCTGGATTCAGCTCGGACGATAGTTCCGTGGAACAAAAGGCTCCTGCAAGTGTGTTTTTTTGCAGAAACCAAGCCCGTTGATATGCAGGCAACTGGCAAGATGCACTATGTTTGAACGCTTGTCTTGTCCGAAATTGGAACGCAGATCCAGAGCAGAAGCCGCAAGCGAACGGCACCTCGGCCTCAATCAGTGCAGACGACAGTAACACTCAATATTTCAGTCGCTTGGTGCCAGCGTGAAGACCAAAAGAAAAGATTGTGATCAGCGCATATCAGCGCCCACTTCTGCGGTCCAGTTTCAGGCCGTAGACTTCCAAGTGGGAGAGCTGCAGCGCGAAGCTTGGGAGCAGAGCATGCACCGAGCCAGACCATTCGACTGTTCTTTGAGGCAAGAGAAACTTCGCTTGAGCTCAGAGGTTGTCATCGACCCAGGGCACTGAAAGAGCATTTCTGAACATTTGCTGTTTATGGTCATGGTCGTTATCAATGTACGGTATGTTATGAAAAAGATAAACAATCGCTGAGTTTGCGGGCAACCCAAGGAGAGGCTTCGAAGAAAGCTCAATAGGTTTGAGGCCACCTCTGAACACAGAGCGGACGAAGTCATGCACATGGGATTAAGACATGGTGATGATTGAAACGATGCATGAAGGCGGTTGATCCGCATGCTGCTGCTGTTGCCGCTGAACGGCGTGGGTCCTTGTCAAGTCCTGTAGCTTTGAGCTTTCCATGGCTTTCCTGCTTTGGTTTCCGCATATTAAAAGATGATTAAAGAATCCTTCCATTGCCAAGGAACATTCACCTGAACACTGACTTAACCTGCCGCTGCAGTTTTGTATCAATGCCCATTTCAGGCCTTACGCCAAATACGCTACGCAATAGCTGCGGGAAAAAGCTTGCTGTGTGAACTGCCTGCGAGAGTTCACATCAGTGGCACCGGAGCACTGGCTTCGATCCGGCCTGCTTGCTGCGCAACTCCATTTGCTGCTGCTTCGAAAGCCTTGCACGGGGGACAAGTTCATAGCTTTAAGGTTTGTGAAGGATTCCTTAAGCTTAAAGATTTGCTCCCCTCCCTACTCATCTTTGCTGGTTGGCAGGCGTCTCCTGGTGATTGGTGTTGGAGGGAAATCGAACTCATTTGGTGTTTCAACTTTTGCAGTTTCATCTCCGAGATTGCGGAGACCTTTTCCGAGCCCTTTGTCTAAGACATCATGGCCGAGGAGAAGGACCAGAATGGTGGTGCATGGAGCAAAGTTCCAACATGGGATGGCTCACCGCAGACATGGCGGAGCTTCCAACGGGAGATGATGTGGTGGCAGAGCGCTTTGGATTTGGAGGCGGCACGTTGGCTCCTACGCCAAAGTGGAGTTGTCCGCCAACGTGGTGAGGAATTTACTCCTCAGGAATTGGCCTACCAGAAGGAAGTTCGAGGACCTGATCCTGGAGATGGACAAGGAGATGTGGTGCTGACGGCTGAGGACCCCTTGAGTGGACTGAAGAAACGGATGAAAGCCCTTGAGGGCATCAATGGTCGTACTGACCTGGACAAGGAGGGTGAACTTAGGAACCAGTTCTACATCGACTGCAAGAGGCGTCCAGACCTGAGGACAGAAGGTGTGACGCTGCCCACAGGTGAGGTTGGTTGGCTCTTCAAGCAGAAGCTGGGCCTGGATGCATTACGACTTCAACTTTTGGAGACTGCATTAGCTGGAGCTGAGGGTTATGAAGAAACTGAACGTGAAGTCTTGAGGCTTTTCAAAGATGTGCGCTCTCAAGACCCCTTAGCCCGAAAAGTTGCTGATGGGAACCGAGGTCCACCTTTGCTGAACCGTTTTCTCAACCAATCCTCAACTGCCAGCAGACCTTCTTCCTATGCTCCCTCTACGGCAAGTTCTGCTCCTAGGTCTTTCGGATCTACCTCTTCTGCAGCATCTCAACGTTCCTCACAGCCTTTTAGGAAGTTTGGAAGCCATCAGAAGCAAGCCATGGTTTCTGAAGTGGAAGAAAAAGAGCCGGCGGAAGCTGACGAGCATGACCCTGAGGTTGTGGAGGACGAGACAGATTTAACTGAGGTGTTGAAATGCTAGGCTGAAGCACTTGCAGCCGAGCTTGATGACGCTGCTGAGCTCCGCATTGATGCCGAGACCTTGCAAGAGGTGGAGGACACAGTGGAGAATGCGGCAGGCCTTAGTGACAATGAAGGAGGCCAGAACCAAATTGGCCGAAGTCAAGCGCGACCGTGGATATGGCCGTGCTACGCCTGTGGATGACAAGTCAAATCGAATTCCAAGAAGCAGAAGAGCAATTGCTTTGACTGTGGCCTACCTGGTCACTGGGCTGGCGACAAGGAGTGTCGCAAGCCGGGTGCGAAACTTAGAAGAAAGCCGAAGCAAGTGCAGATTGCTGAGGCCATGACCACAGAGCACAATGTGAGCGAAAGCCCTGCTGCAGAAGAAGAAGCGCATGAAGTTTTGACAGTTGCCGTCCTGCCCTTGTCCCAATCTCTGGCGGCTGCTGTCGAAGAGTCGCACATGAAGCCCAAAGAGGTGAACTTGTCTGCCATTGGCCTCACAGCGGACAAAAGATTGGTTGGCGCGTTGGACTCTGCATGCAACCGCGCCTGCACTGGTCCTGATTGGCTTCATGGTTACCTCAAAAGTTTGCAAAATGCCCCTGAAGAGATCCAAAACTTGGTGCAATCAAAGCCTGGGCATGAGACGTTTCATTTTGGACTTTGGAGAGATGGCGGCTGCCGACCATGCCTTCGTTAGGACTCTTGCTTCTTGCTGGGAAGAGATTTTTTGGAAGCAGTTGGAGCAGACATTTCATTTTTGCGACTTGAACTGCGATGTGAACGTTTGGATGGCCAACCCATTGCCCTCAAGCAGCTCTCTGCAGGTCACTACCAGCTGCCTTTGGTGCCAACTTCATGGCCTACCGTAGGGACACACAGATGGAGGAGAATGGGTCCTGACGGTGTTGTTGAGTGGCAAATGGATGCAAAGAGTTGGTTTGGTCATTGCATGAAAGGTTCAAAGGCTCCAAAGGTTTCCAAACATGACCACATGCTCACTGAGAAAAGTTTGGAAGTTGGAAATTTGGTTTGCACGGTGATGACAGCTACACCGCGGCAACCTGTGGTTCAAGCACCTGACATGCGTCCCTCTGCTATGCGATCTCATACGATGACACCTAGCACCACGAGCACTACGACCAGAGAAGCACAGCATGGACGCAAAAGACCGCCTGCAGCCTCAAAGGTGGAGAAGAATGGTGATGTGGCTCAAAGAAAGAGCCATGTGGGCCGCAAAGGGCGTGCTCCTTTGGCTTTTGCAAAGGCCCTACTTGCGTTGGCTGCCCTTGCCGTATCCTGCAACGGCCAGTCTGGAGAAGTGGATGTCCCAGGCTATCACCCAGGTGCAGTCCAAAGTCTTGCCAGAAAGACATTTGAAGGGAGCCCAAAAGAAGAAGCTCTTCAGTCACGATGGCAAGTCTAGGGGAGCGCGTGCACCTTCGCAATCGCCTTGGACTTCAAGTGGCGTTCTGCGAAGATCCTCTCCTGGAAGGCATGTTGGAAGGAGTTGCAATGAAGGGTATGACAAAAGGTTTGAAGAAGGCTGCACAAGCCGAAGCTTTGGAAGCGGCCAAACAGGCCGGAAGCACGGAGAAGCGCGAGCAAGAGGCCCGGACGCTCATTGGGCCGAAAGGAGGTCTTCCAACTTTGAGACGCGACCTTCTGAAGCTTGCCGCACTCTTGAGGGTGGATATCGCAGAGGACACGGTGGACACCATCAAGGAAAAGGTCAAGCCTATGGTCAACCTGCTGAAGGAGAAGCCCGTGCCAAAACTGACAGCCGTCAAGTCAGCTGCAGAGCCTCGAGGAGCCCAACCAAAGAGCAGCGCCAAGGAAGCGAGTGCTTCGTCGCTTTCAGCAGACGTGCGCCCGATCTCCAACCTGACGGAGCAGCACGAGGCGCTGAAGGAGATTGTTGGAAAGATGGCCCAAGAGATGCAAGTGCTGAGAAGCCTGCTGCCTGCCGGCGCCATTGGCAATCCCATCGACCTGACCATGGTGGATGTGAAAACGGAGCCCTTCGAGATGTCGGAGGAAGAGATGGCAGCAGCGATGGAGGACGTCTATGCAGAGCGCTTGATGGCAACCTATGGAACCAACGATCCAGATCAGCTGATGGCGGACGGAGTGGGGCTGCACGAGATCAGCGACTAGATGGTGGCCTGCTCAACCCTTACACCATCAACCAGACGCTGAAGAAGGGTCAAGCACAGATGATCGCACAGGCTTGGGCCAGGCACGAAGCCGATAGACTTCGTACTTCGTGGGGGCCGACGCATTCATCAGAACCTTGTGGCCGAGCATGAAGCTGAGATGCGAAGCTTTGTCACGGATGAGATCTTCGTGCAACCCTTGAACCTCACTCACTCGTCCTATGCCCTTGCTGAGAACAACGAAGTTTTGAGAATGTGCGGATGTCTGAGAACCAAGCCGTCGCAAAGAATGTCAAGTTTTCTCAGAATGCCAAGCCTTTTCAAAATGCCAAGATGCCTGCGAATGACCAGCCTCTACTAAAGAATGCCAAGCACACAAAGTATGCCAACAAGCCTTTTCTGACTGAGGTTTACACCACCTCCCAGAACGTCACCAGAGAAGCTGCTCGCAGAGGCCACCGAGTTGGTGATCCACTCAGCTTGGAGACAGGCTGGAACTTCCTGATCCCTTCTCACCGTGAACAAGCCCTGCAGAAGATCAAGACAGAAAAGCCATATTGTGTTGTTTTAGCATTTCCCTGCGGTCCTTTCAGCCCTCTCCAACGTCTCAATCAGAAGCATCCTGAACGCCTAGCAGCTCGCCGTGAAGAAGGCCGAGTGCTCATGGAGTTTGCGTTGGAGGTGGCTAGATTGCAGATGAGTGCGGGGAGGCATTGCATTTTGGAAAACCCCAGACCCAGCGAAGAATGGATTGAACCTTTGATGCAGAAGTTTTTGGAGGAAATGGAAATCTATGTTTCAAACTTTGACCAGTGCCAATTCAACCTGCGCAGCCTGGAAGGCATGTTCCACAAGAAGCCTACCCGAGTTGCATCTTCGAGCTCAAAGGTCTGCCAAGAACTGCATGGATGGATTTGCAAGCGTGATCATGTTCACGCTCCTGTGATTGGTGGGACTCGAGGTACTGCTCATGCGGGCATTTATCCCAAGCCCCTGGCATGCGCCATGGTACGGGGACTCGAGAAACAATTTGAGTCAGATTTTGCATGTCGAGAAGTTTTTGCGTTGGATGCTGGAGAGGATGCGGAGGAGGAACTTGCCTTCGAAGGTGCTGGATTTTCAAACCTTCGAGGCGATGATGATGGCTCTGATGTTGATGAACCTGAAGAATGAGATGGCAAGCAAGTCACAATCCCTGCCAATGTGCGGGCCGCTGTTTTGCGCTTGCATCAGAACACTGGACATCGTTCTGGAAAGCGTTTGGCTCGTGCCCTTGCCATTGCTGGTGCTCCTGCAGAAGCCATTCTTGCAGCAGCTGAAATACTCCCTATGTCATGAATTCATGAACAATGACCTCCAAAGGCCAGAAGACCAGCTTCTTTGCCTATGCCTCGTGACATGGGTGACCAAGTTCACATCGACTTGCTGGAGATTGAAGATGTGAAGGAGCAGAAGTTTTTCGTGGCACATGCAACAGACCATGCCACGAGATTTCAACTTGCTGAGGTCCTGCCGGACAAGAGCACCAAGTCTGTTTTGAAGTTTCTCAACCACAAATGGCTGGCTACTTTTGGACCACCAAGAGTTTTGGTTTGTGACCAAGGCCGTGAGTTCATTAGCTGGGAGATGGAAGAATGGGCAAGCTCTCACACTGTCATGCTTCACCACATAGCTGTACAAGCTCCGTGGCAGAACGGCATTGCAGAGCGAAGTGGGGGCATCCTCAAGACCATCATGGCCGCTGTGGTTGCAGCTCAGGGAGTTTGCGGTGCAGATGAAATGCAAGAAGCTCTTGCTGAAAGCGTTGCAGCATACAACAGCGGCGTCAATGAGCTTGGAGCATCACCTATTTCAGCTGCAATTGGAAAACAACCACGTTTGGTCGGTGATGTGCTGGGTGGAATTCAAAATCGCCTGGCGGAACATGGACTGATTGAATCCAAGCCTTCATTTGCCCGACAGCTGGCTATGAGGGAAGTTGCAAAGGTCGCCATGACCAGACTTCACTTCTCCAGACAACTTCGTAGAGCAGAACTTGCCAGGTCTCGCAACCCAACAACCGAAGAAATTCCTGAACCTGGCAGCATTTGCTACTTCTAGACCTCTGCGCTACAACAACAAGACATCAGCCAGCAGAAAGAAGTTGACCTTGAAAAGATGGCATGGACCTGCGCTGCTGGTTGCAACTGAAGGCACTTCTTCTGCCTATCTCTCCTACAAGGGCCAGCTCACCAAGTGCGCTTTGGAGCATGTGCGCGTTGCGTCAACTATGGAACAGATTGCTGCCGACAGCTGGCATGAAGTAATCGATGAAGCCATTGAAGCGGCACAACACGATTTGACTTTGCGTGGTGCTGCAATGGCTGGGGCACCCAATCCACCTGACGATGGACTTCGCGATGGATTTCGAGGTGATGGGTTGCAGAAATCAGTAGAAGCTGCTCCAAAGACTCCAGCATTTTTGCCTTCCGTGATGCCTGGAACTCCGACTGCACCTCCACCTACCCTTGGCGATGACTTGCCACCGGTGCAGCCACAAGAAAAGAAGTTGCTGGAGCTCTTCAACAAGCAGCATCTGTGCCTGTGCCTGCTTCCTCAATCCCATCAGCAGTGTCCTCTCGCAGAGCTAGCACTGTCTCTGTGGGTGAAGAGCCTGCCTCTGGCTCAAGGAAGCGATCTTTCAGTGGACCCCCCTTAGGTCGTGGCGTACTTTCCAGCGCCATTGAGAAAGCACAGCGCATCAGTGAACCCAGTAGAGTCAAAAGAGCACCTGAAGTGTCAACTGAGACTCTTCAAGCGGGTGGCGAATCTGAGACACCTGTGCCCGCTTCGGCAGATGGCCGCCTCTTTGATTGCAGTGTGGTTTCCAAAGAAGATGTTTTGGCCAGTTTGGGCGATCCTAGTGTGCATCCTTTGGTGAACAGATATCATCAAGCCTGCATCGATCGACAGCAACCTCTTGAAAGTCGTGCCGATGATCATGGTTCATGGGATGGACGCTGGCCGATGCCATCCAGAAGTGAGTGGCTCTTGCATGAGCGACTTGGCATCCAATGGCCCAAGGGTCAAACTGAGCTGGATGAACATGAAAGCCTTGCAGTACAAGCGCGCAAGGAGTACTGTTGGAAGTCTATGGATGATGCAGCCAAGAAAGCTTTTCATGAAGCAGGAAGCCTGGCAGATCTGGCCAGACAACAATGCAGTGGAAATCCTCAGCCTGGAGGAATCTGAGAAGATTCGCAACAGACTGGCGCGAGACAATGAGAACCACAAGCTCCTCACGCCACGCTATGTCTTCACAGACAAGAACGAACCCCTGCGCACGAAGAACCATCCTCTTCCTCTACGAGCCCGAGCTCGCATTGCGGTCCCTGGATTTAACGACTTGCTGGCTTACACTCAGAAAAGATGCTCCTATGGGATCCAGGGTGAGTCAACACTTCTTGCTCGCCCTGACGGCCAGCTACAATGTGAAGAAGATGGGCAGACGCCGTGCATGGAGGTTGATGGCGGCTGACATCAAATCGGCATTCATGAAAGGAGAGTTCTTTGATGACGATCGCGAGCTGTACGTGGAGAACGTTCGCAATCCTCAAGAACCTCAACTGCCATTTCCTGGTTTGGTGCGAATCAGGAAAGGCGTCTTTGGACTTAGCGACGCTCCACGAATGTGGTATCTCCGCCTCAACAAAGCCTTACTGGCACAAGGCTGGGAACGCAGCCACATGGACTTTGCTTGCTGGCTGTTATGGTCTGAAGACCGCACCTACCTGGAAGGGATCATCATATACCATGTCGACGACCTCTTGCTTGGAGGAACAATCGTCGCGCAGCAGAAGATGCTTGAGCTTGGCAAGGAGCTTGGTTTTGGATCTGTTTCCTATGACAGCTTCACCTACTGTGGAAAGAAGATTGAACAGCTGGAGGATGGAACCTTTCAGATCTCCATGAAGGAGTACCACGAGAATTTGAAGACAGTTGCAATCCCTGTTCACCGCAGATCGCAACCTGATTCTCCTTTGACTGAACCTGAACGTCGACAACTACGTGCCCTCCTTGGATCTATGCAATGGCTGGTTGCGCAACTACGTTTTGACATGGGCTACTTGTTGTCAACCCTTCCGGGAGAAGCTCCATTGAAGACCTTGCAGAAGGCCAACCTCCTGGTGAAACAGTTCAAGCAGCACCCTGAACTTGCCCTCACCTTCAAACCTTTGTGCTTGGAGAACGCGGGCATCATGGTTGTAACAGACGCCTCGCTTGGCAATGTTACGAAGCTGGGTGGAGCCGAAGGAAGCCTGATGGAGAAGGTCTACAGCCAGAGAGTGCATACTTTGTTTTGCTGGCTGACCGAGATCTACTTTCTGGCAAAGAAGGTTCTTTCACGGTGATCGATGCCCGAAGCCATCGATTAGCAAGGGTCTGCCGATCCGCCTACTCTGCTGAGTTGCAAGGAACCGAAGAAGCTGCAGATGTCGGAATTTTCTGCCGTGGTCTCTTTGCCAACTTCCTGGGCTATCCTATGAATCAGCGACGTGCCCTGGATGCTATCTGCGCGATCCCTCTGGCTTTGGTGACTGATGCCAAAGATGTTTACGACAAGGGAACGTCGGACACACCGACGTATGGAGCTCAGAAATCCCTGGCATTTACAGTGGCATGGTTGCGCGATGTTCTGGCACAACCCAACACCATGTTGAAATGGACGGCCACCGAAAACATGTTCGTGGACTGTGACACGAAAGATATGGATCGTGATCACATGCACCGAATTTTGAAGAGCGGACGTTGGAGCGTGGTCTACAACCAGGACTTCGTGAAGCAGAAGACGAGCAAGCGCTCTACGAAAGCTGCTGCTGGCGCCTTGCAGATGAGCCTGAGCGGAGAACCTTTGGGTGAAAAGTCACCTATTTTTCCGTTCTTGGCTCAATTGAGTGCAAGCCCAGGTTGGCACCACAGACAAGGTGTGGTGATCAATGTAGCTAGAAATGCCAGATCCTTTAGGACTCCAACAGCGCGTTTCAATTCCAAGGACTACCCATTGCGTACGACATATGGTCGATTTGACATGCCTGACGGCCGATCGCAGTGGAGACTCTTGGAAGAATTTGAAAGGTATGAGGATGTACAGAACCCTCATGCTTTACTTAGCTGTGCGGCAGCCATATTGATCTCTGTGTTCAGGAGTTCTCTTGCCAAAGAAGAATATGATCAGCTGAAGAATCCTGCCATTGCCAAGGAACATTCACCTGAACACTCACTTCACCTGCCGCTGCCATTTTGTATCAATGCCCATTTCAGGCCTTACGCCAAATACGCTACGCAATGGCTGCGGGAAAAAGCTTGCTGCGTGAACTGCCTGCGAGAGTTCACATCAATGATAAAGGATGTAACAGACGAGTCCCACCAGAATGAGGCCGAACCCTTGCTCCTTGCCCACGAGTCTTGAGGCCTGAGAGCTTTTCACGACACTAAAGCAAGTACAAGGAAAATGTGGTAGATATGATGATGCACATGATAGCTTGTACAGCAAAGCACAGCAAAGCACGGCAAAGCAATGCAAAGCAATGCAAAGCAATGCAAGGCAATGCAAAGCAATGCAAAGCAAAGCAATGCAAAGCAATGCAAAGCAATGCAAAGCAACGCAAAGCAACACAAAGCAATGCAAAGCGTATGGAGACAAGAATCATGAAACATAACGCATACTCATGCAAAACAAACTGAATGACCTGATGAAAAAGCATAGGAGAAACCTGAGCATGTCCCAGCATTGCACAGTACTGCCACAAAGGCTTGACGTTGCATTCTGGCTTCTCTGCTTTCTTGAACACAATGTGGACAGGACATGGAGGTCCTTGCTGAAAGCTACGAGGCATATGATGATATTGCCATCAAGAGACTGCCAATTTCTGCACAAAAAGCAGACTAGAATAACTGGAATCAACATGTTCACATTGATGCCTTCAACAAAATCACAACGCCTTTGCCACCTTGCATGCCCTGTGCTGGATTCAAAATGACCAATGCAGCTCAAGTGTTGAGCCTACTGAAGTCATTCCCAAATCGACGTTTATTTAGTTCCGCGTATTCGGCTTTTGAACTATGTCAGAAAATGCAAAACTGGCTGGCAACACCAGCACGGAAACTGAGCAACAAAACACACCCATCCTTTCGGATCACTTTGATGGGTTTCAGTCCTGCACACCTTTTCCCCAGATGGCGAAGCTATTGGGGTTCTTGCTTCAAGTACCGGATGAGTTGGATATGTGCGTTTTGGAGCGGGCCTGCTGGTGTGCGGGTGCAGGGCACTACTGTCAAAGGGCTGTCTGCATCTTAACAACTTGGTGCTGTTACAGGGTACTGCTGCCAGAGTGCGGTGTGCGCTATAAGCTTGGGTGCTGGTGTCGCTGCAGGGAGTGGCTGCAAGATGTCCATGGCAGTGTGGACGTTGCGCCCTGATGGAGATTAGGTGTATGCTGTAGCAAAAAAGGTGAACACTTGGTTGCCACCAAAAACATTTTTTTGCTATCTGGGGCCTATGCTGGCGTATTCTTGTGCCAGCAATAAAAAATAACTTCGCAATGTACAATGCTTTGGTGCTGACGCACTTAGAAGCTAATGAAGCACATGTTTCACATTTGATGTTCATTATATACCAGTAGTGAGTGCCACACAAGGCGATGGCGGAAGTTTCAAAAATAGGAAACCTATAGGAGAGGTTGGTTGTTGTGAATCACGGATGGCAGAGCAAAGCCACTGATGGACCGACAGGTGGTTGAGGTCTCCTCTCTTTCTCTCTCTTCTTTCTCTTTCTCTCACTATCTACCTACCTATCTATCCATGTATCTATCTATCCATCTGTCTATCTATCTGTCTATCTATCTATCTATCTATCTATCCATCTATCTATCTATCTGTCTGTCTATCTATCTATCTGCAAGCTTGAAAACTCTCTCTCTCTGTCTGCCTATCTATCTGTCTATCTATCTGTCTATCTATCTGTCTATCTATCTATCTATCTATCTATCCATCCACCTATGTATCTATCTATCTACCTACCTACCTATCTATCTATCTATCTTTCTTTCTCATCTGTCTATCTATCTATTCTATCTATATGTCAATCTATCTGTCTATCTATCTATCTAGCTATCTACCTATCTATCTATCTATCTATCTATCTATCTGTCTATCCATCTATCTATCTATCCATCCATCTATCTATCCATCCATCCATCAATCCATCCATCTATCTATCTATCTATCTATGTATCTGCCTATCCATCTATCTATCTATCTATCTATCTATCTATCTATCTATCTATCTAGCTGTCTCTCTATCTATCTGTCTATCTGTCTATCTGTCTAACTGTCTATCTACCTATCGATCTATCTATCGATCTATCTTTCTCATCTGCCTATCTAACTGTGTATCTAGCTATCTAACTAAGCAATCTGTCTACCTATCTATCTATCTATCTACCTATCTATCTATCTATCGATCTATGTATTTATCTATCTGTCTTTCTATCTATCTATCTATCTATCTAACTATCTATCTATCTACCTACCTTCCTACCTACCTATCTATCTATCTTTCTTTCTCATCTGTCTATCTATCTATCTATATGTCAATCTAACTGTCTATCTATCTACCTATCTAGCTATCTACCTATCTATCTATCTACCCACCTATCTATCTATCCATCCATCTATCTATCCATCCATCCATCAATCCATCCATCTATCTATCTATCTATCCATCTATCTATCTATCGATCTATGTATCTATCTATCTGTGAAATCTAACCTTGTCATTCATTGTCCAGTGTTGGTTGGCATTTTCGTACAGTGACATTCTCATGTCGACCTTTTGCATCCGCCACCTGTTGGTGGCTCAAGCCTAGCAAAAAGGCGTGTTTGCGCCTGCCCATGCCGTTGCCAGTTTCATACTGGCAGCGGAGCCATTGGATTGGCACCATTTCTTTTCTCATCCTTGTGCTGGCGGCGCGCATCATGTCGGCGCTGCTGGAAAACCTGAGGTACAGAGCAGAGAGTACCCAGGTGACGCATCAGCAAGATGAAGCGAACAACACTGAGGGCAAGTTTGGGATTCCTCGGTTTGATGGCAATCCGAACATGCTGCAGGAGTATGCCTACCGAGTGAAAACCAAGATAGCAAAGGAAGCTGAGATGTCGAAAGATGAGGTGTCGAAGTTGGGGCCATTAGGCCTTAGACTGGTGGAAGGACTTCGTGGACAAGCTTTTCGCCTGGCACAACAAGTAGACATCAGTGTGTTAGCTTCCTCAGCTGGCCCAACAACTTTGCTGAAGACATTGAATGACAACTTGAAGCCCAGGAAAGAGCAGGAAGCACGTGAGTTGTATGCAGCTGGATCACGTGAGGGCGGATTGTTGTCACGACAACATGGAGAGCCAATGTCTTCATACGTTGCGAGACGGACTTCCTGGTGGAGCACTCTGCAATCCTTGGACCAGGAGCTGAAGGTACCTGATGTGCTGTTGGCCGAGATGACATTGGCCAATGCTGGAATCTCAGAGGATCAGCGTTTGATGATCCGTACAGTTTTGCAGGGAAGAGTGACGACGGACACAATCGCCACTGAGCTTTTGTCACAACATCCCAATATCCATGAGCGCGAGCGTAGATCTGGAAGGTCCAAAGGACATGGCAACAAAGGTTCTTGGAGGTTTCCACCAAGACACAAAGGTGGACACCGTGGATTTTTCTCAGAAGATCTACAAACTGGCATGGACGATTGGGAGACTGGCTCTCAGTCATTGACTGGTTTTTCTGCCGTATTGGATGAAGAGCGCTATGACCCTGAGTATGACGAGACCCTTGCGTATGTGGCCGACTCGCAGTATGACATGTCCCATGACGAGGACGAGGATGGATTTCTGGTGATGAATTTCGCACTGCTGTGCGAGGATGGCCTTGATCTACAAAATGATGAAGCATGTGCATTGGCGGCCGAGTCTTTGCAGTTGGAGCATGAGGCCTATCTTCTCAGAGGCCATGGAAAGGGCAAGGGACATGGAGGTTTTCAAGCACAGAGACAATTTGACATCTCTGGCAGTGTCTCCTTTCAGGAGAGAAAGGCACGTTTGGCCCAGCTGAAAGCCCGCACAGAATGCCGACGGTGTGGAGCCAAAGGACACTGGAGTGGAGATGCAGCATGTCCCAAAGGTCAGAAAAAGGGTGGATCCAAGAAGCACCAAGGTACCAGCCAAACCTCTACGAGACCACCGCAGTCAGCACAGGGGGGAAAGTCAAGCAACAAGAATGCCAAGCCACGAGTGGTGTACTTTTCACATCGTGGTGATCCTGGGCAAGATGGTTTTGGATACATGGCTATCAAGAAGGAGCCCAATGATGATTTGTCACGCCCAGCAGGGGTGTGTGTGCCTCCGCCTACATCTTTGCAGAGCTCATCATCCCTGTGGAGCTCTATGGACAGTTCTCAGCCTTCGGCATCTTTTGCCGACACTTTGACCAACATGGTAGCGGCTGCAGCTGCGAGCAACCCATTGGTGTCAGTTCCACGAGCGGAAGAACCAGCACGTGGACGCAGTATTGCCAGAGACACCCACCACTATGGGCAGAAGACTTACAGCTACAGTCCAACGTCCGAAGCTGAGAGTGAACCAGATCAAGATCACAATCTTCCAGTTTTCTTGCAACGTTCAACTGCAGAGCATGTGCCCAGCTCGCCTTTGCCGGCTGACTCACCCACCGAGAGCTCAACAGCCATCATGCGTACATCCGATGAACTGGATACCGCACTTCTTCTAGAAGCTCTTGGAGCGGGTTCAACTGAGGTTGTGCATGGAGCGTTGCAACAGTTGACAGATCTTGAGATGGAAGTTGATGGTGAGGGTATTGCAACCGCAGTCATGATCCCACCAAATGTGCAAGTGATCAACCCTCAAACTCTTTTGAGTGCTCAGCAAGTTTTGCCTCCCATCGAAGCCTTGGAAGAGCGTCGTATGGACCAATTGACCGAATGGCTGGATTCCCATTCACCTGATGATCCACGCTATGCAGAAGCGAGCAAAGAGCGCTGGAATGAGTTCAGGCCTGGTCATCCTCTTTGCACCGAGGCTGACATTTCCAATCTGGAGCGATGGAGACGAAACATGCTGGCCGGTTTTCGACCGGAGTTGCAACCTTTGCCAAAGCCATTGCCTGCGCCAGCCAAAGCTGCGTCAGTTGCTGCTGTACCAGTTCCACCACAAGTTCCTGGTGGCAATCCCAACTGTGAGCACAAGAATGTCACCAAGAAGGGCAGCAACAAGCATGTGGAGATGGAAACGTGCCGTGATTGCAACATGATCCTCAGGAAAGTACGCCGAGATGCCACAGCAGTTCAAGGACAACTTCCTGGTCCCAACACTGCCCAACAAGATGCATGTCCACATCCACGCATCAGTATGGCCATCAATGGCGCAACACGTGCACGACATGCGGCAAGGTGGCCACTGGGTACTACTCCCATACAGGTCCACATGCAACCCGAAAAGCTGCTGGTGCAACTCTTGCAGAGGCCAAACCACTTGGGAACTTCAACATGGACCAAGTGGAGGAGATCTTCAAGACCTGTCTGGTCGTTGCAAGAGTGAAGGCCGCAGAAGATCAATGTCAGCAGATGTCTTCAGGTGCCATGCATCGTATCATGGATGCAGTCTGCATGACTATGTCAGAAAGTATGCCCTCAACTCAGCCGAGCTCTATGGCATCACAGGCTGATGAGAAGGACAACAAACCTCTCTCATTTGGAGAGTATCGTGGCAGAACTTTCCAAGATGTCCTGCAGAACGAGCGCAAGTATGTTGAATGGTGCCTGACACAGTCTGCAACCAGCAACAGAAAACTCAGGGAATTCATCAACTACATCCAGAGAAGATGCAATCCACGTTTTGGGCTGATGGCAACGGCGACAACCACAGCTGGTGGATCTGAGAATGATCTGATCGCCATTTTGGACTCAGGCTGCAATCGCACATGCCATGGAGACAAATGGCTGAAGCGATGCATGAGCACCGTTGACCAACACCATTTTCCTTTGGAACCGGACCATGGAGGTGGATTCAGAGGCATTGGAGGTGCAATCAACACTACAGGTGTTCGCAACCTTGATGTCTGCTTTGAGATTGGCGATGGCATGGCAGTTGGAGAGATCGACAGCATTGAGCTGGAGAACAGCGATGCCCCTTTGCTTCTCTCCATCTCCGACCAGCGGAAGCTTGGCCTGACGGTCACACTTGGTGAGCAGGACCGTGTCTACAGCTCAACCTTGCAAGCCGAGCTGATTGTCACCAACATGAATGGCCTGCTTGGAGTTCGCCTTTTACCCAAACATTTGGCGATGCTTGGAATCTCAGATGCCCAGCCTGAAACTCAGCCTGATGACATGGCAATGGATTGCGCTCCTTCCTCAACAACGGAACAAGTTTTGATGGATGCCTTTTCAACCAATGACATTCCATTCTCAACAACTGAAGTGCCTTTTTCAGTGCCAGCGTATGAACCTTATTCAGTGCAACAGCTGGCATCTATGGGCGCGGACTTGGACTTGGATTTGTCCGTAGCTCATGGGTGTCAGAAGTTTCATCAAGAGCTACAGCAACAGCATGAAACGTATGTGGCTGTGGAGGAGGAAACCAGAAAGACTTTGAGCAAGAGCCAACGCAAGTTCCTGGAGCAGTCGGTGGAAGAGATTCAAGCCAGCGACGTGAGCCTGTGGGCAACTTTGAAAAACAGGAAGGCCCAGACACCTTTGCCCCGAGGCTGCAAGACCTTCCTCATGGAGATCTTTGCTGGCGCTGCAGTTTTGACATCCATGGCCATGTCACTTGGACTTCCTGTGGCAGCTCCCATCGACATCAAGGTGCGAGCCGAGATTGAATCTCACATCGACCTGATGGACCCCTACTGCGTCACTTTTGCTCCAGTCTGTGGTCCTTGGGGTTCATGGAGTCGCCTGAATCTTCAAAGAGGCGAAGAAACCAGAGAGGCCATTTTGCAACAACGTGATGCCTGGTATCCATGTCTCAAATGGATTGAGCGAATGGTGCGGAAGCGAATGGCCCGTGGACGCAAGTTTTTGGTGGAGAATCCATGGCCAAGTGAGCTTTGGAACACTTTGTGCATGGACAAGCTCATTTGTGAAGCACCAATGGATGCGGAGACCGGTGAGCCTTTGGAGCTTGTGCGTGGCGATCAATGTGAATTTGGACTTTGTGATCAACAGAATGGCCTGCCATATTTCAAGCCAACTGGCTTCATGACCGCATCTTCGGGCATCAAGAACAATGTGCAGCGTAGATGCACTGGCAATCACACCCATCAACCTCTTGAAGGTGGCCGACGCACACGTCTTGCACAGCACTGGCCTCAAGCCCTGTGTCGTGCGATCATCAATGGACTTTTGGATGATTTGCACAGCAGGACAGTTTTTGCAGCTTTCCATGAAGCATCAACTGAAGAGGCTGACCATGATGGAGCTGACTTAGGCAGCTTGGACTACATCTACAACGAAGATGACATGAGCAGAGATCCAATCATCTCTCAACGAGTTGATGCCCATGAACTTCAAAGAATGGAAGCTCTGGAGGAGATGCCAAACCCTCCAGATCTCATGGAGTTGGAAGCCACGAGAAAGTTCAAGTGGCTGAGAGCTCCCAGAGAGACCAGAGTGGCACTTCGCCGCTTGCACCATATGACTGGTCACGGCTCCAATTCATCTATGCTTCAACTTTTGAGAACTGCAGGTGCATCCTCAGAAGCCTGCGAAGCTGTGCGGCATTTTGCTTGCGAAACTTGCAGAAAACGTGAACCTGTCAAGAAGCCGCCAGTTGTCAAGGAGCCCAACAAGATGGTGTTCAACTATGAGATCTCTGCAGATTGCTTTGAAATCCATGATGCAGCTGGCAACAGGCACACAGTGCTTTCTGTGATTTGCCTTGGAACCCTCTATCACCAAGCATGGTGGGTGGCGCCTGGTGGAGTTCCGAAAAGCAGCGTTTGTGCAGAAGCACTGCTGAATGGATGGTTTCAACCATTTGGAGCTCCTCGTATTTTCACATGTGATCGTGGCGTTCATCACCGAGGGCGAGTACAAGATCTCTTGCGCATTCATGGAGTTCAGTTGCGCTATGGTGCATTGGAAGCCCCATATCAGATTGGACGCACAGAGCGTCAAGGTGGTGTGCTGAAAGAAGTTCTGAAAGGAGCCATAGAAGAGCGGCAGATCATTGGTGTCAAGGACATGAAGATGCTCATCGCCGAGAGCACGACCGTGAAGAACTGCCGAGTGAATCACCAGGGATTTACCCCTGCTCAATGGGTTCTTGGCAGATTGCCAACAGACTCCACTTCAATCACTGCCGAAGAAGCTGAGGGCTATGCACTTGGAGTTCATGCAGAACTGATGGAACCAGAAGAGCAGTTCGCTCGACAATTGGAAATCCGACAGGCTGCCAAGATGAGTTTTGCCAAAGCTGACAGCAGCCGAAGAGTCCGTGCAGCTCTCCTTCGCAAGTCTGTCCCTCTTCGAGGACCATATGCCCCAGGTGATTTGATTTGCTTCCACCGAAAAGGGCGCTGGCATGGACCTGCACGAATTGTTGGAAAGGATGGCAGATCGACCTTTTGGGTCATTCATGCAGGCATTCCCATTGTCGTTGCGGAGAACCAGATTAGACCTGCAACATCGGCCGAAGTGATGGTCAAGCAGATCCTTGAATTGAGGCCAAGCAGGAAACGCCAAAGAGACATCAATGAAGGCGTGGAAGACATCCCTTTCCATGATGATTTGGTCATGCCGCATTTGCAGCACGAAGATGACCAGCCATCTTATTTGGAATTGCCGAATGAACCTGGAGCTCAAGGTGGACCTATGGATTTTCCTGGCACTGCTCCACCTGGTCTGGATTTACCGATGGACGTGCCTGCTCCTCCCGGCTTGGATTTGGACTTTGATGCCGGCGGAGCACCACCTGCCTCTGACGCTGTTGGTCCCAGTTTGGAACCACAACAGCCACAACCTGAGTCAGAGCAAGCTCCCACATCAGCAATACCTACTGTGCCTTCAACTCCTGCGATGGATCAGCCTATTCCTCAGATAGGCCTCAATGAAGCTTTGAGAAGATCTGCAGACAACTTGGATGGCCACCACTTGAGATCTATGCCACCTCCGACATCAACAGCAACAACATCAAGACGTGATCGATCTCGATCACCACATCGAGAAGCAGGCAACATTCCTGTGCCTCGAGAAGAGCAAGCCATGGATGATTCAGAAGATCGACGAGATCGACATTTCCATGCATTCTTGTCTCATCGCAATTTTGGTGCCTATTTGGCCAGGAAACCTGTGAAGAAGAAACGTCAAGTTGGAGCTGGACGTGAACTGAACTATGGAAAGAGTGCGACTGATGTTCAACAAGCCCTGGATCAAACCAGGCTCAAGGAATGGAACAGCTGGAAACAGTTTGAAGCCGCGAAGGTACTACCTCCTGGCCCTGAACAAGACAAGTTTCTGGCTGAGAATCCTGATTTGGTGATCATTCCAAGCCGTTGGGTTGACGTGGACAAGTCTGAAGATGCAAGTCAACCGCAATACAAATCGCGGCTTGTTGCCCGGGGTGATCTGGAAAAGAACGACAGTCAGGTGCGCACTGACAGTCCTACCTCCAGCCAGTTGTTTCTTCACACAGTGATTTCTTTTTCAGTTTGCAAGAAGCGGAAACTCCGTGGTGGAGACATATCAGCTGCCTTCCTACAAGGCACGCGCATCAAGCGCAAACTGGCGCTGAAGCTTCCTGCCGATGGCATTCCTGATGATGAGGTGGAGCCTGGATCACTTTTGATCTGTGAGAAGAGCGTCTATGGCACTTGCGATGCTCCCAGAGGCTTTTGGAAAGGGCTCTATGATACCTTGTTGGAATGCGGCCTCAAGGAAGTTCCAATGGAAACCTCAGCATACTACTTGCCTGGAGCTGAAGGACAAGTACTTGGTTTGTTGGGGACCCACGTAGATGATTTGCTTTGGTGCGGCACTCCGGAGATGGATGAAGTGATGCTCCGAGTGCAAGAGCGCTACAAGTTCAGAATCACCAATGCAGAAGATTCAGAAGATGGCATTTTCAAGTTTTGTGGACGTTTGCTTCATCAGACCAATGATGGTGTGACCATTACATCGCCTGGAGTTCTGGATCGTGTGAAGGCCATCTACATCGAGCCCATGCGCCGCAAGCAGAAAGGGCTACCAGCTACCACTTCCGAGATCTCACAGCTTCGATCGGTCGTGGGCAGTCTCAGCTGGTATAGCCGTGTTTGCCGACCTGACATTGCCTTTCAGGTGAATCAGTTGCAGTCTGTTCAACAGAAGGCGCGTGTGGAAGACTTGATGATGGCAAACCGTTTGCTGAACTTTGCCTTAGAAACCAAGAATCGCGGCGTCCATTTTCCTGCAGATGCCTTTGAATTTGAAGACGCGGCTGTTTTGAGTATCAATGATGCTAGCCATGCCGCGAGCTATGATGCAACCAATGAAGGGCACATCGTTGGGCATCGCTCACAGTCTGGTAGATTGTTGGCTTTGAGTTCAAAAGATTTCTTGAAGACGGGCAAGGGCAAGATTCATTTGCTCCAGTGGTCAAGCACGGTGATCAAGCGTGTTTGCAGAAGTACTTTGCAGGCTGAAACTCTGAGCTTGCAATTGGGCTCAGAAGATGCTGAGCACATGCGACAGATGCTTTATGTCATCAAGAACAAATCCAATGCGATGAAGCGAAGTGAAAACTATATCAATGCCTTGGACGAGACGTTGGTTGGATGGTACACTGACTGCAGGAGTTTGTCAGACCATCTTACAAATGTGAATGCAGCTGCAGTGTCAGACAAGCGTTTGGCCATAGACCTCACAAGCCTCCGACAGGAGTTATGGCGTGAACGTGGTCAGCTGGTTGGAAACCCAACATACTGTGAAGCACTTCCAGCGGATCGAACCACGCTGTGTATGTGGGTGGCGACCAAAACAATGCCAGCTGACAGTCTGACCAAGCAGATGAAAAGCCCGCAGATGGACACTTTGATGGCGAGTGGATATCTGCATATGATGTTACAAAAGGAGGAACCAACAACTGGCCAAAAGAATTTTGACGGGTGTGAAATCTAACCTTGTCATTCATTGTCCAGTGTTGGTTGGCATTTTCGTACAGTGACATTCTCATGTCGACCTTTTGCATCCGCCACCTGTTGGTGGCTCAAGCCTAGCAAAAAGGCGTGTTTGCGCCTGCCCATGCCGTTGCCAGTTTCATATATCTATCTATCTATCTATCTATCTATCTATCTATCTATCTATCTATCTATCTAGCTGTCTCTCTATCTATCTGTCTATCTACCTATCCATCTATCTATCGATCTATCTTTCTCATCTGTCTATCTAACTGTGTATCTAGCTATCTAACTAAGCTATCTATCTACCTATCTATCGATGTATCGATGTATCGATCTATCTATGCATCTATCTATTTATGTATCTGCCTATCCATCTATCTATCTAGCTATCTAACTATCTAGCTATCTATCTATCTATCTATCTATCTAGCTAGCTAGCTAGCTATCTATCTATCTATCCATCTATCCATCTATCCATCTATCCATCTATCCATCTATCCGTCTATCCATCTATCCGTCTATCCGTCTATCCGTCTATCCGTCTATCCGTCTATCCATCTATCCATCTATCCATCTATCCATCTATCCATCTATCCATCTATCCATCTATATATCTATCTAGCTATCTAGCTATCTAGCTATCTAGCTGTCTATCTAGCTGTCTATCTGATATCTGTCTGTCTATCTATCTATCTATCTATCCATCCATCTATCTGTCTATCTAATCTAATCTAAGCTAAGCTAAGCTAATCTAACCTAATCTAATCGTCTAATCTAATCTCATCTCTCTCTCTCTCTGTCTGTCTCTCTGTCTGTCTGTCTGTCTGTCTGCCTGCCTGCCTGCCTGCCTGCCTGCCTGCCTGGCTGGCTGTCTGTCTGTCTGTCTGTCTATCTGCAAGCTTGAAAACCAAGCTATTCTGCGAGACTTCTTCATTTTTCAAAGTTGACAACATCAAGAACGAGCAATTCTGCGTGACTTCCTCATTTTTCAAAGTTGAGAACATCAAAAGCGAAGCAATTCTGGGAGACTTCCTCATTTTTTAAAGTTGAGAACATCAAAAACGAAGCAATTCTGCGAGACTTCCTCATTTTTCAAAGTTGAGAACATCAAAGACGAAGCAATTTTGCGAGACTACTTAATTTTTTGAACTAGACAACATCCGAAACGAAGCAATTCTGCGAGGCTTATTCAATTTTTGAACTTGACAACATCAAAAACAGAGCAATTCTGCGAGACTTCCTGCAAAAATCGAAAGTTGAGTGCAGCGCTGATGGCCTCGTACCAATGCGTTTTGCGATTTTTCCACTTCATGTGTTGAAAGTACTGCGCTTGCCACGAAAAATTGAAACCAGGTCATACGAAGTGCTGCACCTGTCACGCAACATCATCTTAGCAAACCTACAGATCTGATTCTCCAAAATGCAACCGCTCTCAGGAAATCAGCGCCCGGACCCCCCTGATGAACATGTCTCTTGTACTGCGCCTGCCACGCGAAATGCATGTTTGCAGATCCTCTTCAAAGGTCCCACGCTTGCCATCGCTTTTGAAACTGCTATAAAACCTTCACGTTTTGCTCACTTTTGAGAAGTGCACAATCCCTTGCGCCTGCCACGCGAAAGCACATCTGAACGTCGAAACGTGTTCAACAGCGTGCACTTTTTCGACATAACTTCCAAAAGTGGCCCGAGAATGGTGTGCTTTGTACATTTTGACTTCGAGATGTGTTTCGCGCCACAACGACATGCATTTTTCGACATCTCAACTTCCAAAAGTGCTCCAAACTTGAGGTGTTTTTAGCATTTTCACTTGCAAATGTGCTTCGCGCCACAACGGCGTGCAATTTTTCATCTCTCATCTGGCCAGATGGCTCCGCACCCGCCGCTTTAGCGAGCCTACTTTTCGACCCTCCGGAGCCACAAATCATTGGAAAAACACAGTGTTTCGCGATTTTCCTACCTTTTCGCGCACCTGGATCTTCTTTCTTCTGAGACTTTCTCTTTTGTGATCTTCTTTCTTCTTCTCTTCTCTTCTCTGACTCTTCCCATCTCTGCTTTTCATCTGTCCATATTGTCGGAAGTTTGACTTCTAAACTTCTTTCGATAAATATAAAAAAATGCCCTTTGGCGCCTGCAAGTAAACACCCAGTTTTTCGCATACTGATGGAGACCAAGGACTGCTACAGGCTTGTATGCACTTATTGTTGCATTATGCAGCATCAGTGTTCACACGTATCAGAGGAAGCAAACAAGTCAATCCACATTAATTACTAGATGTAATAGTGTCAAAAAGGGATGCAGATTTTGCTTTGTGCCAGCCTTTCCAGACATTAGTATGATGTGCGATGCTGTGTGCATCCTTCCAACGTTTAAGCAACCTGTCCACTTTGCAAGAAAACACGGCGAACTGCCGTTTTTTTTTTGTAGCCAAAGATGATCTTGTCAGGTAAAGTTAAAGAAAGGTTTCATTTCCATTTTGGGGTACCCCCCAAAAAGGCGAACAAAAAGAACTGACAAAACCAACTTAGTAACCCCTTTGCTCCCCTTCAAAAAACCCAAAGCTAAGCAATGCGCTGACTTTTTGTGTCTTTTCAAGCGTTTTCGATGCCACAGTATAGGCCTCACGTTGGTCAAGTTGTGCCACAGAAAAATATCTGGAAACAAAAAATACATGCGCAATCCAGCACAGCGCAGGCCAGCGCTTCTGATTCGGGTCCGGATGTTCAGGCGGAATCTGAATCCGGTTTTCAAGGGAGAGCCGGGTGAGCAAAAGACCTCGTGATATCTCCCAATCATTTGTTATTACAGCCTTCGGCATTCTGCCGGCCCTCTGGCCTTTGGCCTACAGGTCCACAGCAAGGGTTGTGTATAGCTGGTTGGTGTAAAGGGTGGTTGGCGCAAAAGGTGATTTGTCCAAAAGTTGGTTTGTGTAAAAACTGGTTCGTGTAAAAAACTGATTTGTATTTGTATAAAAACAGGTTTGTACAAGTTGGTTGGTGCAAAACGTGGTTTGTGTAAAGCTGGTTGGTCGAAAAATTGATTTGCGTAGAAACTGGTGCGTGTAAAAATTTGTTTGTGTAAGAGCTGGTTTGTGTAAAAGGTGGTTTGTAAAAAAAAAATGTGTAAAAGCGGGTTTGTGTAAAAACTGGTTGGTGTGAAAGTGGGTTTCTGACAAAAAGTGCTTGCTATAAAAGAGTGTTTGTGTAACAGCTGGCTTGTGTAAAAGTTGGTTTGTGTAGAAACTGGGGAGTGTAAGACCTTGGAGATTAATTAACAGACGGGAGTCAAGTCGGTAGATGCAATACTGGTAAGAGTGTATGCGGAGAAGGCCGTGAGTGCAGGGGAAAAACAGGAGTGTCAGGTGCTTATGGACAGTGTTGGGCACAAAATCGGCAGGTTAGAACGCAGTGAAAAAACGTGGAAAAATGCCGCATCTCAGGGGCAAGAATGGTCCATAAAACGTGGCGAAAAAATGAAAAACTGCTGCAACCCAGGGGTGAGCCGGGAGAAGAAGATGAACCTGATGAACCTGATGATGATGATGATGATGACGACGACGACGACGATGACGATGTTGGTGACGATGACCACCGAGGCGATGATGATGTAAATAAAATCAGCATTAGGTAATTAGAGAAAAGAGACGAGACGAGACGACACGAGACTATATTAGACGAAACTAGACTGTAGTGACTGTACTATACTAGACTAGATTACACACTAGGCCTTACCAAATTATATTAAACTAGACTATACTAGACTACACTAGACTATACTAAACTATACTGGACTATACTAGACTGTAGTGTATACGTGGGGGTCGGAGGGGGGGAGTGGGGGGGTAGGGCGACGAAAGCAAAATCCGTAGAAGGAGATGGGGCAATTCAAGACAAAATCCGTCAAAGAAACAATCTATAGGTGGAACTAAAACAAACACAGTATGTATCACAAGAACATCCACAAAACTAACACACCCGCAGGCGGATTGTTTGTTTAGGCTGTAACTTGAACGGATGTTGTTTTACTGTGATACTTCATCCAGCCGGCTGCCAGCTTGATCATTCGTGGCAGATAGCACTCTTGCAATGAAAGAAAGAAAGATAGAAAGGTGAGATCAAGTCATCAAGTGTGGTTCTCTTGATGGACAAACTGGGCAACTCAACCCACAGCTGGCAATCTGCTGATAAACTGGGCAGCACACCTAGGTCGTATAGTGGACTTGTACTTTGACAATGTTTGCATTCCATCCTCTTCAAAAGCCGTGACCGCAAGGTCAAGGGCCCAGTGCAAACTGCTTTGAAGTCCAGTCCAAAGGACGCGAAGGCTGGAACGGTTTGCAGACCTTCAGCCTTGTTGTTGTAGCTTGTTGTAGAATGGATTGGACGGATTGGACGTTGCGTCACTGTCAAAGTTGGAATGAATCGAGAAGATGGGCTAATTTGAGAAGATTTGAAGAACCCTGTTCTGATGTTCTGATCAGCGCCCACTTCTCTGGTCCAGTTTCAGGCCGTAGACTTCCAAGTGGGAGAGCTGCAGCGCGAAGCTTGGGAGCAGAGCATGCACCGAGCCAGACCATTCGACTGCTCTTTGAGGCAAGAGAAACTTCGTTTGAGCTCAGAGGTTGTCGTCGACCCAGGGCACTGAAAGAGCATTTCTGAACATTTGCTGCTTATGGTCACGGTCGTTATCAATGTACAGTATGTCATGAAAAAGATTTTAAAAAAACAATCGCATCCAACCGCTGAGTTTGCGGGCAACCCAAGGAGAGGCTTCGAAGAAAGCTCAATAGGTTTGAGGCCGCCTCTGAACACAGAGCGGACGAAGTCATGCACATGGGATTAAGACATGGTGATGGTTGAAACGATGCCTGAAGGCGGTTGATCCGCATGCTGCTGCTGTTGTGACTGAACGGCGTGGGTCCTGGTGAAGTCCTGTAGCTTTGAGCTTTTCATAGCTTCCTGGCCTAGGTTTCCGCATACCAGTAGTACCGCACAAGGCGGTGGCGGAAGTTTCAGAAATGGAAACCTATAGGAGAGGTGAGTTGTTGTGATGCATGGATGGCAGAGCGAATCCACTGATGGACCGAAAGGTGGTTGGAGTTGTGCTTTTTGGAGTGGTTGCAGTGGTCACCTCACTCACAACTTTGCTGAATGTATATAGTGTGGTGTGGTGTGGCGTAGTTGTAGTTTGTAATTGTAGTTGCAGTTGTAGTTGTAGCAGCAGCAGTAGTAGCAGCAGTAGCAGTAGTAGCAGTAGCAGTAGTGGTAGTAGTTGTTGTTGTTGTTGCTGCTGCTGTAGTAGTTGTAGTTGTCATTGTAGTTGTAGTTGTAGTGGTAGTTGTAGCTGTAGCTGGAGCTGTAGTTGTAGTGTTGTTCAGTGTAGCCGTAGTTTCAGTAGCACTTGTAGTTGTAGTTGTGGTTGCAGTGTAGAGTAGCGTAGTTTAGGGGTAGTTGTAGTTGTAGTTGTAGTTGTGGTTGTAGTGTAGAGTAGTGCAGTTATAGTGTAGTTGTAGTTGTAGCCGTGGTGAATATGGTAGTCGTAAAAGATGTAAAAGATGTAAAAGACGAGTCCCACCAGAATGAGGCCGAACCCTCGCTCCTTGCGCACGAGTCTTGAGGCCTGAGAGCTTTTCACGACACTAAAGCAAGTACAAGGATAATGTGGTGGATATGATGATGGATATGATAGCTTGTACAGCAAAGCAATGCAAAGCAATGCAAAGCAATGCAAAGCAATGCAAAGCAACGCAAAGCAACGCAAAGCAACGCAAAGCAACGCAAAGCAACGCAAAGCAACGCAAAGCAACGCAAAGCAACGCAAAGCAACGCAAAGCAACGCAAAGCAACGCAAAGCAACGCAAAGCAACGCAAAGCAACGCAAAGCAACGCAAAGCACAGCAAAGCACAGCAAAGCAATGCAAAGCAATGCAAAGCAATGCAAAGCAATGCAAAGCAATGCAAAGCAACGCAAAGCAATGCAAAGCGTATGGAGACAAGAATCATGAAACATAATGCATACTCATGCAAAACAAACTGAATGACCTGATGAAAAAGCATAGGAGAAACCTCAGCATGTCCCAGCATTGCACAGTATTGCCACAAAGGCTTGACGTTGCATTCTGGCTTCTCTGCTTTCTTGAACACAATGTGGACAGGATATGGAGGTCCTCGCTGAAAGCTACGAGGCAGATGATATTGCCAGCAACTATCAAGTAGCCTTTTTTTTTTAACATTGTTTTTGGATGTTTTATATTTATGTGTGCTTCATGCCGCTTTGAACATGTGAACCAACAATTTGGAGAGAGCATAAACACTTGCATGGAATTCGTTGTCAGGGGAAAGAACAACATGCATCAGCACAATGAGCGGAAAGTTGTTCAGTTCTTTTCTGAGTTTCTTTTTGATGGGCTTTGCAAACTAGGGATCCCTGTGGCAAAGTCACACTCAGATAAATGTTTATTACAAAAGCCAGCCAACAGTAAAGATGAAGTGTTTATTTGCGAACGCAGTGAGATTGAGTGGGTGCGGGGGTGTGCTACCGAAGCGAAGGGACCAAAACTGATCCACGATTCAGCTGCGGGCTTGGATTCCCCCCTGGCCCTATTGGAAGTTGCGTGGGGCGCACTGAAATACGCAGGACATAATTTTGCGGGCACTGGCGATGACAGAAGACATCCTAATTTGTAATAATTAGTTCGGACGCAAAGCATGTTTGTAGTGTATCACTTGGCGTGCTCTGCGTACGAAGTACTGTCGCCTCATCACCTCAGCATGTTGATCGCGGAATAGTTTTCAACATTTTTCAACTTTGTCATACTTTTCTGGATCCTCACTCATTACAGGAATGGGGAGAGATGATACAAAGGTTTGGAAGGTGTGGCCTAGAAAGATGTGGAGGACAACAGCGAGTGGGATGATTAAATCATATTAGATTTCTATAGATATCAAGGCTTACAAAGCGAGGTTGTAATTTTGAGGTGTTTTAGCCATGGTCAATACATGAACGCACCTTCACCATCTCAACCACAAGCGAAACTTGCAGCTTTCGTGTCCGTATTCCATCTTCTCAGGTTCTTCTCAGGGTTCTTTGAAAACAGGGAACAACTTATGTTGCGCAAGCAAGAAACAACCCTCAGGAAACTTAAGACAGTTAAAAAACAACGTGCAACATCATGCAACCCAAAGTTGTGGCTGTTGCTGTGGCGCAACCGATGCCCACAGAGCATTCAAGGGGTTGAACACAGCGCAGGCCAGCGCCCCGGACTCGGGTGCAGATGTTCAGGCGGAATCTGAATCCGGTTTGCAAGGGAGAGCCGGGTGAGCAAAAGGACCGCGTGATATCTCCCAATTCCTTCTTATTATTCGTCTAGGCCGTAACTTGAACGGATGCTTTTTTACTATGATACGTTGCTGGCCGGCCATCAACTTGATATTTACAGTAGTGGCAGATAGCGCTTTTACAATCAAAGAAAGGTGAGATCAATTGCGGATTTACCTTTTCTTGATGGATAAACTCGGGCAACTCAACCCACAGCTGGCAATCTGCTGATAAACTGGGCAGCACACCTAGGTCGTATATTGGACTTGTACTTTGACAATGTTTGCATTCCATCCTCTTCAAAAGCCGTGACCGCAAGGTCAAGGGCCCAGTGCAAACTGCTTTGAAGTCCAGTCCAAAGGACGCGAAGGCTGGAACGGTTTGCAGACCTTCAGCCTTGTTGTTGTAGCTTGTTGTAGAATGGATTGGACGGATTGGACGTTGCGTCATTGTCAAAGTTGGAATGAATCGAGAAGATGGGCTAATTTGAGAAGATTTGAAGAACCCTGTTCTGATGTTCTGATCAGCGCCCACTTCTCTGGTCCAGTTTCAGGCCGTAGACTTCCAAGTGGGAGAGCTGCAGCGCGAAGCTTGGGAGCAGAGCATGCACCGAGCCAGACCATTCGACTGCTCTTTGAGGCAAGAGAAACTTCGTTTGAGCTCAGAGGTTGTCGTCGACCCAGGGCACTGAAAGAGCATTTCTGAACATTTGCTGCTTATGGTCATGGTCGTTATCAATGTACAGTATGTCATGAAAAAGATTTAAAAAAAACAATCGCATCCAACCGCTGAGTTTGCGGGCAACCCAAGGAGAGGCTTCGAAGAAAGCTCAATAGGTTTGAGGCCGCCTCTGAACACAGAGCGGACGAAGTCATGCACATGGGATTAAGACATGGTGATGGTTGAAACGATGCCTGAAGGCGGTTGATCCGCATGCTGCTGCTGTTGTGACTGAACGGCGTGGGTCCTGGTGAAGTCCTGTAGCTTTGAGCTTTTCATAGCTTCCTGGCCTAGGTTTCCGCATACCAGTAGTACCGCACAAGGCGGTGGCGGAAGTTTCAGAAATGGAAACCTATAGGAGAGGTGAGTTGTTGTGATGCATGGATGGCAGAGCGAATCCACTGATGGACCGAAAGGTGGTTGGCGTTGTGCTTTTTGGAGTGGTTGCAGTGGTCACCTCACTCACAACTTTGCTGAATGTATATAGTGTGGTGTGGTGTGGCGTAGTTGTAGTTTGTAATTGTAGTTGCAGTTGTAGTTGTAGCAGCAGCAGTAGTAGCAGCAGTAGCAGTAGTAGCAGTAGCAGTAGTGGTAGTAGTTGTTGTTGTTGTTGCTGCTGCTGTAGTAGTTGTAGTTGTCATTGTAGTTGTAGTTGTAGTGGTAGTTGTAGCTGTAGCTGGAGCTGTAGTTGTAGTGTTGTTCAGTGTAGCCGTAGTTTCAGTAGCACTTGTAGTTGTAGTTGTGGTTGCAGTGTAGAGTAGCGTCGTTTAGGGGTAGTTGTAGTTGTAGTTGTAGTTGTGGTTGTAGTGTAGAGTAGTGCAGTTGTAGTGTAGTTGTAGTTGTAGCCGTGGTGAATATGGTAGTCGTAGTTGTAGTGTAGTGTTGTGGAAGTTGTAGTTGAAGTTGAAACTGAAGTTTCAGTTGTAGTTGTAGCTGTGGTGGTTGTGGTAGCTGTAGCTGTAGTGTAGTTGAAGCGGACGTTAAAGTGGAATTTGTAGTTGCAGTTGTAGTGTAGTGGTAGTTGTAGTTGTACTGTAGCTTAGTGTAGTCCTAGTTGTCTATCTACCTGTCTATCTATCCATCGCTCTGCCTATCTATTTTTATACCATCTATATATCTTTATACTATCTACCTATCTATCCATCCATCCATCTATCTATCTAGCTACCTAGCTGTCTATCTGTTATCTGTCTATCTGTTATCTGTCTATCTATCTATCTATCTACCTATCTATCTATCTATCTGTCTATCTGTCTATCTGTCTATCTGTCTATCTGTCTATCTGTCTATCTGTATATAGTGTGGTGTGGTGTGGCGTAGTTGTAGTTTGTAATTGTAGTTGCAGTTGTAGTTGTAGCAGCAGCAGTAGTAGCAGCAGTAGCAGTAGTAGCAGTAGCAGTAGTGGTAGTTGTTGTTGTTGTTGTTGCTGCTGCTGTAGTAGTTGTAGTTGTCATTGTAGTTGTAGTTGTAGTGGTAGTTGTAGCTGTAGCTGGAGCTGTAGTTGTAGTGTTGTTCAGTGTAGCCGTAGTTTCAGTAGCACTTGTAGTTGTAGTTGTGGTTGCAGTGTAGAGTAGCGTCGTTTAGGGGTAGTTGTAGTTGTAGTTGTAGTTGTGGTTGTAGTGTAGAGTAGTGCAGTTGTAGTGTAGTTGTAGTTGTAGCCGTGGTGAATATGGTAGTCGTAGTTGTAGTGTAGTGTTGTGGAAGTTGTAGTTGAAGTTGAAACTGAAGTTTCAGTTGTAGTTGTAGCTGTGGTGGTTGTGGTAGCTGTAGCTGTAGTGTAGTTGAAGCGGACGTTAAAGTGGAATTTGTAGTTGCAGTTGTAGTGTAGTGGTAGTTGTAGTTGTACTGTAGCTTAGTGTAGTCCTAGTTGTCTATCTACCTGTCTATCTATCCATCGCTCTGCCTATCTATTTTTATACCATCTATATATCTTTATACTATCTACCTATCTATCCATCCATCCATCTATCTATCTAGCTACCTAGCTGTCTATCTGTTATCTGTCTATCTGTTATCTGTCTATCTATCTATCTATCTACCTATCTATCTATCATCTAATCTAGTCTAGTCTAATCTAGTCTAATCTAGTCTGTCTGTCTATCTGTCTATCTGTCTATCGATCTTATTCTTGTACTGTCTTACCTGTCTATCTGTCTACTGTCTATCTATCTATCTATCCCTATCTATCTATCTATCTATCTCTATCTATCTCTATCTATCTCTATCTATCTCTATCTATCTCTATCTATCTCTATCTATCTCTATCTATCTCTATCTATCTCTATCTATCTCTATCTATCTCTATCTATCTCTATCTATGTCTATCTATCTCTATCTATCTCTATCTATCTCTATCTATCTCTATCTATCTCTATCTATCTCTATCTATCTCTATCTATCTCTATCTATCTCTATCTATCTCTATCTATCTCTATCTATCTCTATCTAGCTCTATCTATCTCTATCTATCTCTATCTATCTCTATCTATCTCTATCTATCTCTATCTATCTCTATCTATCTCCTATCTATCTCCTATCTATCTCTATCTATCTATCTATCTATCTCTATCTATCTCTATCTATCTCTATCTATCTCTATCTATCTATCTATCTATCTCTATCTATCTCTATCTATCTCTATCTATCTCTATCTATCTCTATCTATCTCTATCTATCCCTATCTATCTCTATCTATCTCTATCTATCTCTATCTATCTCTATCTATCTCTATCTATCTCTATCTATCTCTATCTATCTCTATCGATCTCTATCTATCTCTATCTATCTCTATCTATCTCTATCTATCTCTATCTATCTCTATCTATCTCTATCTATCTCTATCTATCTCTATCTATCTCTATCTATCTCTATCTCTCTCTATCTATCTCCGTCTATCTCCATCTATCTCCATCTATTCCCATCTATCTCCATCTATCTCTATCTATCTCTATCTATCTCTCTCTCTCTCTCTATCTATCTATCTATCTATCTTCTTCCATCTCTGTCTATCTCTGTCTATCTCTGTCTATCTCTGTCTATCTCTGTCTATCTCTGTCTATCTCTGTCTATCTCTGTCTATCTCTGTCTATCTCTATCTTTCTCTATCTATCTATCTATCAATCTATCAATCTATCAATCTATCAATCTATCAATCTATCAATCTATCAATCTATCACTATCAATCTATCAATCTATCAATCTATCTATCTATCTATCTATCTATCTATCTACAAATCAACCTATCAATCAATCAATCTATCTATCTATCTATCAAACTATCTAAATATTCTTTCACTCATTCATTCATTCCTTCATTCATTCATGCATGCATGCATTCATTCATTCATTCATTCATTCACTCATTCATTCAATCAATCAATCAAACAATCAATCAATCTTTCATTCAATTCGTTTATTCATTCATTCCTTCCTTCCTCCCTTCATTCCATTCATTCATTCATTAATTCATTCATTCATCCATTCATTCATCCATCCATCCATCCATTCATTTATTCATTCATTCACTCACTCACTCACTCATTCATTCGTTCATTCATTCAATCATTTATTCATTCATTCATTCACTCACTCACTCATTCATTCGTTCATTCATTCAATCAATCATTCATTCATTCATTCATGCATTCATTCATGCATCCATTCATGCATTCATGCATTCATGCATTCCTTCATTCCTTCATTTCATTCATTCATTTCATTCATTCATTTCATTCATTCATTTCATTCATTCATTTCATTCATTCATTTCATTCATTCATTTCATTCATTCATTTCATTCATTCATTTCATTCATTCATTTCATTCATTCATTTCATTCATTCATTTCATTCCTTCCTTCCTTCCTTCATTCCTTCATTCCTTCATTCCTTCATTCCTTCATTCCTTCATTCCTTCATTCTTTCATTTCAGTTTCATTTTCATTTCATTTCATTTTCATGTCGTTGTCATTTCATTTCAATTCAACTCAATTCAATTCATGTCATTCATTCATTTCATTTCATTCATTTCATGCATTTCATTCATTCATTTCATTCATTCATTTCATTCATTCATTTCATTCATTCATTTCTTTCATTGTTTTCATTCATTCATTTCAGTCATTCATTTCATTCATTCATTCATTGCATTCATTCATTTCATTCATTCATTTCATTCCATCATTTCATTCCCTTCATTCATTCATTCATTCATTCCTTCCATTTATTCATTCATTCGTTCATTCATTCTTTCATTCATTCAATCAATCAATTCATTCATTCAATTCATTCATTCAATTCATTCAATTCATTCATTCCATTCATTCCATTCATTCATTCATTCATTCATTCTTTCATTCATTCATTCATTCATTCATTCATGCATTCATGCATTCATGCATTCATGCATTCATGCATTCATGCATTCATGCATTCTTGCATTCATGCATTCTTGCATTCTTGCATTCTTGCATTCTTGCATTCTTGCATTCTTGCATTCATGCACTCATGCATGCATACATGCATGCGTTCATGCATTCATGCATCCATGCATTCTTGCATTCATCCGTTCATTCATTCATTCATTCATTCATTCATTAATTTTTTTCATTTCATTCATTCATTTCATTCATTGATTCATGCATTCATTCATTCATTCATTCATGCATTAATTTTTTTCATTTCATTCATTCATTTCATTCATTGATTCATGCATTCATTCATTCATTCATTCATGCATTCATTCATTCATTCATTCATGCATTCATTCATGCATCCATTCATTCATTCATTCATTCATTCATTCATTAATTTTTTCATTTCATTCATTCATTTCATTCATTGATTCATGCATTCATTCATTCATTCATTCATTCATGCATTCATTCATGCATCCATTCATTCATTCATTCATTCAATTCAATGCAATTCAATGCAATTCAATTCATTCAATTCATTCAGTTCATTCAATTCATTCAATTCATTCAATTCATTCAATTCATTCAATTCATTCAATTCATTCAATTCATTCAATTCATTCAATTCATTCAATCATTCAATTTATTCAATTCATTTCAAGTCATTCAATTAATTCAATAATTAATCAATTCCAATCAATTCATGAATAATTCAGTCAATATATCAATCATAATCATTACCATCTATCTATCTATTACCTATCTGCTTGTCTGCGATCCATCAATCTATCTATATATATACGATCTATCTATTAGCTGTCTAT